ATATATATATATATATATATATATATATATATATATATATAGTGTATTTTGTAATTTAATTTTATATTTAACCTAATTATATGAATTTTGTATTGTCAAATCCTTTTACATGAATGTCATTGTTATATTCTTTAAAATTACAATACATGTTTTATTCTAATATCATGTTACACGGTCTGATTTTCTCTCTCATGAATATGTTGTTTACAATTACATAACTTGATGTTACATTTTTAAATGTAGATACATAATTCTAGTGACTATAAATGTTGTTTAAAGTTTAATGAATAACAATTATTGAACCAACTACAAAAAACAAGCTATGGCTATTAGTAAATTTTGAAAGTAATAATGAGGTAAGAATTTATATACTAACTGATACAATCTTTCTTAGATTTTATGTTATTTTTAATATTAAACTTAAAAACTCATGTGATGTGCAAAAACATTTGTTGTCATTTAAAGGATTTTTTTATTTATAATTATAACATATTTTATTAATAAATGTTGATACATAATTCATGCTACTATGGATATTGTTTAAAGTTTAACGAATAACAATTATTGAACCATCTACAAAAGTGAGTTGTGACTATTAGTTAATTATGAAAGTAATAATCAGTTAAGAATTTATATATTAACGATACCATCTTTCTCATATTTTATGTTAATTTTTTCAATACCAAACTTAAAAACTCATGTGATGTAAAAAAAAAAAAACATTTGTTGTCATTTAAAAGAATTTTTTTCATTTATAATTATAATATGCTTTATTGCTATATGTAGAATTGCACGATTATACTCACTCATGTTACCGAGATATATATTTCATTTACTATTAGTTGTATTACATTAATATTCATGTAAGTTAATTAGACATTGGATAATATAATTTAGCTTTTAGTTTCAATTAGTTTTAATTTTTTCTTACTATCATTTAAAGAGCCTTATTAGAAATTGTTTTAAAATTTATTATATTTAAGAATGTATTGATGAAATCTTAATATATTTTTACCTAAATGTTAATCCCAATGTCTTATTATATATATTAAAAAATAAAATAAAAATAATCAGTGTTAAATTTTTTTTAGCATAAAATGCACAAAAATCAATATTATTAGTAGTTTTGTAGAGGTAGAAAATACGATCATTTAATTCACACAATGTTATTCATACAAAGGTTACTAAAATCATTAACAAATTTAATTAATGTGATTCACAATTTTTTAGTTTAAAATTATATAATTACTAATAATTATATTTTTTTATTATATGTTATTATTTTTTTAAGTATATATTCCATGTTATTCTTTATTTAAATACTACTTATTTTTGAAATTCATTTTGATGCAATATTTTTGATTTGGTATAAATAATGCATTAATATGTTACGTTATACAGTTTTTTTTTTCTTTCATCATATATTTAAAATTATAAAATATATATATATATATATAATCATATATTAACAATTTATCAAATTGAAAAATAAAATAGTTCATACATCGCATAGGCCACCCACTTAGTTTTATATAAGGTAAAATAGCTTTTATTTATGTAAATATACTTTTTGGAGGTTATATAATGTAATCTTGCAAAATTAATAGAATAAATTTTTTTATAAATTTTTTGAAAGAAACTAGATTGATGTAATTCCGCTTTCTAAATCTTTTCTTTCTTGACATTCCTCAAGCTTCTTCAAAGTTTCTAATGGAGAATTCATCTTCAATGGTGAAAGACTCTCTTCAAGTGATGACACCTCAAATCTTACCACACTCTTAAGAAGAAGATAATAGAATTGGAAGTAAATCAAAAAGAGTTTTAAGTCTTTAAGAGAGAGAACTCCAGAGAGAAATCTCAACCTTCTTCCATCATTTTTGGTATCAGAGCCTTGGTGCTCTTGAGGTTATGTGTTCTTGTCTCTTTTATTTGTTTCAGTCATGTCTTAACTCCTTTCTTGTCTTTAGTTTATTTTGCATCTTTGAGTTTATATTTGTTATTAGTTCTAGCAAATTCTTAGAGTTAGGTTTCCTTGATGTTTCATTAAAAAGTTTGTCAAAATTTGTCTAAACTACTACTTGCTTCCTTAGGTTTCTTGAATCTCTTGTGTTGGTTGAAACTTGTGCCTATTTTTAAGCCTTTAAAACATAGAAAAATAGAGGTATTAAGTATTCAAAAGTGTAAGAAAAACAAAAGCAAAGTGTGTCTAAAAAAATTACCTAAAATTTGTGTGCTAAGTTGGGAGCACTTGTAACACACACACAATTGTATACCTCTTGTTTGTGCAAAATTGTTTGGCAACCTTTTCATTACTAAAATCGAGACTCATAGGTGTTGAAAAAGGCATTGAAACTCGTGTATTTAAAAGAAAAAGAAAGTGAAAAGAACAAACAAAAGAAAGACAAAAGAAAGAACAAAAGAAAAAGTCAAAAAAGTTGAAATCTAGGGAGGTAGATTTGATTCTATGTCCTAATTAGTAGGACTACCTCTTTGAGCTCACCTTGCCTACTTAAATTAAAAGTTTTATTTGATTGCTATCTTTGCAATCACATTTTCTTATTTATCCATCTTATATCTTATTTCTCTAAAATCAAATAAAAACATTGAAAGTATTGTTGTATGACTTTTAAGAAAAACTTAGGTATTATTTAGAAGAGTTTATGAACAACTTATTTATAATTATCTTATTCTATAAGTATTTATGGAAAAAATTTATAAAATTTTTATGAGTAGTCCATTAGATGTTTTGAGTTTATTTTAATAAATTGTTCAGTATAACTTATTACTTAGTTTATACGATAACTTAATTAAAAATACCTTTACTCAAATCATGTCACTCACTAAAATAGCTTTATTTTTATTTTTATTAAAAATCAATTTTATATTCTCTTTTCATTATTCCCTTCAAGATTTCCATTACTCTTCCAAAAGTTTACATTCCTCTTTATATTTTTTCCCACCATTTTTTCTCTCCCCCTTCCCCAAATCTACATTTTCTTAGAATAAAAAGTCTTCATAAATTTCTTTTAGAAAATAGCACACTTTGAAATAATTTTGTTACTAATATTTATATAATAAATTTTTTTAATCATAATTTTATAGAATATATAAAACTGATTTTTAATATATATAATTGGTGAATGTGACTAGCTTATTATTTTAATTGATTTATCATATTTTATTATTTATTTTTATAAATAAAAATTTGGTGAATGTGACTAGCTTATTATTTTAATATATAATATTATTTTTAAGAATTATTAATTACTTTTAAGAAAATTATTTTATTTTCAATCAAGATTTAAATTATAATTTTTAATTTTTTAAAATGAAACAAAATCTTATAGATATTTAAATAATTTTTAACAAACAAAATAAAAAAATATTATAAAAATCATCTTATAGTTATTAATTATTAGTTTTAAAATATTATAAAAATCATGTCCGTAAACTTAAAAAAAAAAAATACATCAAAGCATTTTAAAATTACATAAATACTTAAAAACATATTGAAATGCAACAACTTATTAATTTATGCACTTATACCATAATATAGAAGAGCTTATTAAATGATAAAATCTCATTTATGCAGATATGCCTTCAATATCCTAACTTGATGCATCATCTTTACTTGCCATTTTTATCGCATATTTACCCTAAAAAGTTACACTTTCCCTCCTATATCACTCTTATTTTTTTAATAATAAAATTCTTCTACCTTTTTCTAGTACTCTTAGCCTTCTAAGAAGTTATTTAGAAGATTTAATCAGGTTTACAATTTTTGTTAAGGAGTTAACTAAAAAAATATTATAATGATAAAAAGACTAAAGTATATTATAGATATTAGTACTATAATGAACACATTTTTTTCTTATCTCTTTGTTTTGTGAACAACTTTTTTGCAACACTTACTTTTTCTTATTTTCACGATTTTTTTCAGAAATGAAAAAAAAAGGAGCTTTACCGTACAAGAAACAAATTATAGTAGTAGTAAGAAGAAAAATTTATGGAAGTTATATTACCTAGCTTTAGAAACAAAGCTCTAGTGACCAAATTATATGAACCCATCATTATTTAATAAAGATCTTATAAATTATATTTAAGATAATTTTAATTAATTAATAGTACTAATTGTATAACAATTACTAGAGACGCTAAAAATTACAATAATATGAACAGTGTTGAGTACATTAGTACAATCGTTATAATTTTTATGAATAAAAAATAAATTTAGTGCATAAAATATATATTATTTAAAAAATAGTAAAATAGAAAAAATTTATTTACCAATAAAAACTTTGTTTTGAATTTAATTAGAATACGCAAACGTTATAAAGGTTTTTCATGTTGTTACTTAATTATAAATTTCTTATATTTATCGGTGGTAAGATTTTTTATTTTTTAATAACTACTTAAAAAATTTATATAAAACAATTTCTAATTGATTATCAGTTTAAAAATATTACATAAAAATTGAACTAATTTTTTCAAATCAAATATATTTTTTATTTTTATTTTAAGCAAAAAGTATTAGACAAACAAATGGTGAAATGAGGTAAGACGCAGTTGGGATTGGACGGTTTATGGTGAAGAGGAGGATTTTGTCGCACATGGCCAAATTGAACATTGCATCCTTTACTGCTGCACACAAAACCAAACCCGCATGAATGATGAAATTGAGAAGGGTTCTTCGTTGAATTTGGTAGGTTTTCACTCTCAAATCTCCAACTTTTACAATACAATTTCACGGGATAATAGTTGTTTCTGTTTAATAAATTTAAATTTAATTATTTTGGTTGCGTGTCAAATATGATCATGTGGCTTTGCAGTTTCTGCGATAATTTCCTTTCGTTGTACTATTCATCGTCAACAAATATCAATATATACGAGGGCGGTGACGTGTTGTCGTCGCTTCCAGATCCTTCTTTTAATTCTCTGAATTTTCTTATTTGCCTAACAATCTCTTTCGAGTCTCACCTACCACAACCTGAGTTATGCTTTAGCTGTTCATAAAACTCTCTCCAGAAAAATTATTGTTGTATCCGCTGCTGTGTATCTTCTTTCATTATTCTTTTGCCAAGGTGATGGTTTTCTCTCTGTTTTTTTATTTAATTTTATTTCTTTTCCATAGTTTTTCCTCTTAGTGATTGGTCCTGGGGATTTAGATTTGTTTAGGTTAGTGTTTGGGTCTTCCGACGTGTTTTTTACCCTGTGGTGTTTGGTGTCGTTGCATATCTATCTGGATATTAGAAGCATGCTTCATACTCTTTTTAACGGTGAATGAAAGGAAAAAGTATTACCTTTTCAGCTTTCTCGTTTGTGGGTTTTGTTCAATTGTTCGTTGCCCTCGATTGCTTGAATAAGGAAAGAAAATACCAAGTGTTGATGTGGGTTTACAGTGCAGAAAAATAAATGTCCTTTTTTTCCCATCAGAAACGGCGAGATAGATCGTTTGTGGATGAATTCATTGTGCAACCTTGACAACTGCGATTCTCTAATTTTTTTAATATTTTTCTTTTTTTGTGTTTTGGGCTTTTGGTTTTAAACTGCTGGATTGATGTTTCAGGAGTCAAGGAATTTAAAGAGAACATTATGGAGGAATCAAATGCAGCAAGGTATTGGTGTCATATGTGCTCTCAAATGGTCAATCCTATCATGGATGTGGAAATCAAATGCCCCTTTTGCCAAAGTGGATTTGTTGAAGAAATGAGAAACGCCACCAGTCGCAGCGACATTCACAATATGCCAGAAGCTGATTTTGAATCTGATCGGGCTCTCTCCCTTTGGGCACCCATCTTGCTAGGCATGATGGGCAATCCACGTCATCCTCAAAGACTGAGGCAAATAGAGAATGATGATTTTGATAATGGTAATCGCGATGATGTTGATGGTGTAGCAGACCATGGTGGAGAAACTGCTTATGATCAAGAGCTTGAGTCCATCCTTCGCAGAAGGAGAAACTCAGCTACCATTCTACAATTGCTCCAAGGTATAAGAGCTGGACTGGCATCTGAATCATATGAGAATTCGGACAGCGATAACCATAACAGAGAAAGAGAGCGTGTAATCTTGATCAATCCTTTAAATCAGACTATTATTGTCCGAGGTTCCTATGAGTCAAACCGGGCTCAAAGTGATAATCATAGCCCCGTTGGGTCTCTGGGTGATTATTTCATAGGGCCTGGTTTGGATTTATTGTTGCAACATTTGGCTGAGAATGATCCAAATAGATATGGAACTCCACCTGCTCAGAAGGAGGTCATTGAAGCATTACCTACTGTGACAATCAATGATAATTTGCAGTGTTCTGTGTGTCTGGATGCTTTTGAAGTTGGTTCTGAAGCTAAAGAGATGCCTTGCAAACATAGGTTTCATAGTGGGTGTATCCTGCCCTGGCTGGAGCTTCATAGTTCTTGTCCGGTATGCAGGCTTCAGTTGCCAGTCGATGAATCTAAGCAAGACCCTGACGTGTCAAGGAATAGCAGAAACCGAAGGGAGGATGGGAATATTGAGCATGACAATGCTGAAGAAAGAGATGGTGAAGGAAGAAATGCAAGTGGGGGTAGAAGATTCTCGTTTCCGTGGCCTTTCAATGGATTATTTTCTTCTTCGAACTCTTCATCCTCTTACAGTTCCAATGCAAACGGAAATGATACCCAATCAGATGAAAATTGAGCATTCTTGCTTGTCTGTTGTGCTATTCATATGCTGCCTTGCTTTATGTACAGTTTTCGACCAATCGGAGGATCCAATGTTGAGAGAACAAGTTCTGATTTTTCACGTGGCTTTGCTTTTGCAAATTTTTGTGCTTCCTAGAATTCTAGTTGTTGCTATAGTTCCTTCTACTTTTACCACTCAACTTGGTTCTCGTGGTGGTTTTATTTCTCCATTGCATTAACTTGTACCATATGTACATATACGTTTAAGCATGGGTTTGATACTTAGATAGACTCGTAATATTCAATTTTGTAGTCAATAGCTCATGGATAGTATTGGTTGTAAAGCTTGTTGCACGGTTGAATTTAGCAATTGATCAAATCAAACTTGTGGATGAATGATGATGCTTACAATGGTTGAACTAAAACCTGCACGTGTTTCTGTCTTCTTGCATCTGGCACAGATTGTCTGTTTTCGACAAGGTCTGTGATCCATAAGTATAGAAGCTAATGGGTAGTAGTGACCGGGAGACCAAGGTTTCGAGGGTCTTATTTGAATTTAATTTTTATATTTTGATATCATAATACTTAACAGTTAAAATTAGAGGAAAAATTATTAAGTAAGGTGTGAGATTCATTGTTTTTTGTATTTTTTTTTAATAAATTTTAATTAATTAAAGATAAAAGTACCGTGTCAGAAAGTGTATTTCTAACACTTTTTTAAGTCTAAATATGTTTAGTTTTATAAAGAATAATTTCATTTTCATGATTTTTTAAAAAAATCTTTAAGATGTTATTTGGATATAAAGATATTTTTTTTAAAAAAATATTTTAAAACTCATTTTTTCTTTTAAGAATAAGATGTTATTAATACTTGAAGTTTGTATTACAATTTAATTTTGTGTATAAAGTTGAGAAAAATGTTGTATAAGTTTATCTAACATAATATAGTTCCTCTTTGAAATATAAAACATTTCTCTATAGAAAAACAAATAATTTTTTATTAAAAATTAAGTTTTTACCATATTCTTTTTTTCAAATAATCTTATCGTAATCTAAATAATAAAAAAATTACAGAGAGAAAAATCATGAAAGTAAAGACTAATAAAATCAATGACTAATTTAAAAGAAGGGGTGAATTGATTAGGAAAAAAATGTTAGGAACACATATTTTTTTTAACACTTTTTCTAATTGATTTGAAATTTATTGAAAAATACAAAAGTTGATGAGTCTTACATCTTATTTAATTATTATCTCTTCTGATTTTTTTAAATAAATTTTTATTAATAAAAAATAGTGTATCAAGAAAAATGTTTGTTAGAACTCTTAAACATATTTTTAAAATAAGAAATATGATAAATACATATCTTCCGATAAATAAGTTAAGTCTTTTTATGATAAATACAAAAATACATCAAAAGGTGTTAGCTTGTAAAAATAAAATCATGACACATATTGCAATAATATAAAGCTTATAAACATAAGTTGATTAATTATGCCATTATCTTTTGCAAACATAGAGCCATTTCGTGATTCAAAATAACTATTTGTAACAAATATGGTAAATATGTAGACTTCCTACAATGTTGCCATCTAGTGTAACATTTGTTATCACCCATCCCTTTTATTTTGTACCTTCTTTGAATAAACAAATGATGATATATTCTAAATGTCCTGATATGACATCTAATTTGTTAATGTACCCTCCAAAAAGATGTCTTATTCTATTAATGACCAAAGCTGCGATTGTAGTGTTGGAGCTGCCAAGATTAAGGTAAAAGCCATCAAAACATTTCATATTGAGAAAGTTTAAGCAAAATTCTTCCTTCACACACACATCTCTTGAAAGAGTAATATATATATATATATAGTGAAAGCTAGAAAGATAAGAGAAGCTAATGTTGACCATATAAATATACCTGAATAATCAAAATTAATACCAAGTATTTACATGAAATTAAATGGTTAAGATATATTTCTAATCTCTATAATTTATACCAATTTTTACTTTACTCTCTATATTTTAAAAGTTTAGTTTTAATTCCAATTATTTTTTCTTTTGCCCACTACATTATTTCTAATTGTTCTAGATCTCATTCCGTAGGACTTTGCCCACATAAAATAAAGAAAAAAAAGTAAATACATTAATATAATATCATGGATTCTTTTGAATGTACAACTTAATTAATATCTTATTTAATAAATTCTTATATTTTAAAAACTTTTTTTATAAGTATTTAAAATTTAATGAATTATTACATTTGAATATACATGTTTGTAAGTACTTATATAATTTTAAAATGCTTAAATCTATTATTATTTAAGGACTTATAAGTTGTTATCTTATTTTAAAAATTAAAAAAAAAAAAAGAATTAAATCATGACCAAAAAGAAAATGAATTTTTTTATAAAGTAATTAAATAATTTTAAAAAATTATATATCATAATCATAATAATATTAAAAAAAAAACTTTAAAAAGAAAATTTTGAAAATATGCTTTTACATGAAATTTCCAAGCCTAGTATTAAAGGTTCATATCAGTATAAAAAAAAAATAAACAGTATAAAAAAATTAGGTTCATATCACTAAGATTTATGTAAAGCTTTACCCATTAATCCAAATGTTGACTGAAATATGTCGTCCTTTTCTATCAAATAATATATATGTAAAATGTTTTTAAAAATTTAACTTTTTTTAACTTTATATCTAATTCAGTTTTTTATTTATCATAATTATTTATAATTAAATTTTAATATTTTTATAATAAATTATCAATAAATAAAGGTTATCTAATACTACAATATAGATTATTTATTATAAATCTAAAATATAATTTATATATTTACAAATATTTACTTAATCAAACTTTAAATATAATTTAAATATTTAAATATAGTATTTATATACATCATTTTAAAATTTTAATTATTTATAATAAACATGATGTACACACTAAAATATTAATTATAAAAAAAAAATTAGAAAAGATGCTAAAAAACCGCGACTTCGAGAATACAGATGTGGTAAGCGAGTTGACAGAGCTTGAGCATGTGGAATGTTTCAAAGACAATAGCCGAAAAAAACAGCGCAAATGTTCATATTATGCAGCACAATAATTAATTATAGATAGGAAACCAATATTAAGGATAAAATTAGTTACTGGCACATTATTGTCTTACAATATCTAATTACAAAGGAAATGAGATTTCGGAGACTCAAATACTAAGAGAATATGGTATTCTATGCTACGATCAACAGTTTCTATCAATCATGCTAATCTGGGTTAAATCAGCTGTTTTAGAAAAGCTCATGTACATTCCCAACAATTTGCTAAATCTATTTCCTCCTGGAACACATCAGCCTCTACACTTAATTTACATAGAATCACGGGATCTATAGTATGATACAGTCTACTCAGTTCAGTTTGGCTGTCTTTTCTCTCAAACCAATGAGCAGAGTTATGTCGCCATCATTGTATATAAACCGTAGTCAAGATTTCTCAGACTGCTTGGAGAGCTCTTTATCAGCAAAATGAAGAAGTCTTCTTAGTCTTAGAACCATGTCACAGTGGAAGGGAAGTGCTGTTCGCCGCTCTAGGTATGTGGGGCTCACTGTCATCCATGACAAGGCATGAAGCTCTGCTGCAAGAGACTCCAGAACCAAGTGGGTCTCAATTTCAAAATCTTTGGCTTCCCAGTTTAAACTTCTACCACCTTGCTTGTTAACTCCCCGGACAATCTTCTCTTGGGGGATGTTAGCACCTCCATAATAATCAATGAGGCTCACAGAAAGTATAGAGGGCCATTCTTCTTTCAGGTTGCTTCTATAGTCCTTCCTCATAGAAGGTACTGCTTTTGAAACCACAAATCCAGTAGAAAGAGGAAGAGCAGAACCCTTGCTGTGAAGCAGATGAGCTAGCGGTGGCGACTCTGCTGTGAGGCATGTGGGGAGTTGAAGACCTGTTGGAGGAAGGAACCGCATGCTGGGAGAAGGAATTAGAATATATGCAGAAGACGTAGAACCAAGAGACTTCACTGGAGTGAAACCTTCTATGTAACCTAAAATATACAAATCACTACCACTTTCAGTTTCTCCAAAAGCTTTTGCTATCAATACTTCCATGATTTACTTTATAAAGAATATTCAAATGAGTTAGCACCACAAAAATTCAAAATTTTATATTTTGGTTGGTTGTGAATACTCTCCGTTGCCATTACATAAATAATTATAACTTTATTATCCAGAAATCCTAAGCTGAGAATAATGAAATGTCTATCATTATTATACTGCAAATCAATAATAGATTCAAATCCTTGAAGGATACTTATCTGAATTTCCTTTATTTAATATTTATACTGTCATATATGCCAAAACACGGTTTTGGTGTATTTGGTGCAATGCAACTTTGAAAAATGTAAGCAGTCACGGATGTGTAGCTATTGCCTATTCAGCATATTCCCAGTAATTGGGTTAAGGGAAGCAGAAGAAAGAATTCATGGTCCATGTTATCAAATAACCATTATGGCGCCACCAAAAACATATAACAACACCCCCCCCTCACTCTTTTCCTCCATCC